CCCAAAGTTTTATTAGATAATGTGCCATGCTTAGAGTATTCACATATCAAATATGAACAAAATCGCTCCACTACTTTTCGAGTTATAGTAAAAAATGTAAAAATGACAGCCATTTTTTAAAATGGCCGCCTACTATCTGAAGTGTCATGAGACAGTGTGCAGGGCTCGTGAGTATTCACATATCAAATATGAACAAAATCGCTCCACTACTTTTCGAGTTATTATTAATGTCCTTTATAATTTTTTTACACTAAAAACATATTGCTATTACAGTTTTACATATTGCACCTAAATTACTGTAAAATCGGCACTAAAATGGCCACCATTTTGAAATGAGCGGCCATTTTGAAAATCGGCTTTCGAGCAGAACTCCTACCCTATAGGGTATATGTGTACAAAATATTAACAAAATCGGGCCAATGGTATTTGAGTTATTGCCCGGACGGACGGATGGACGGACAGACGGAGGCGTTCCCTATATCCCTCTGAACTTCGTTCGATGGGATAATAAGCCATCAAGTGTAAAAAGGCATTGTACTACATTTCCTTGTAAATGGAAAAAATAATGCCTATTTTTTGCTTAGACTTCTTCACTAAAAAGCTTAGTAGGTATTTATTAGAAAATTTATTTCATAAAATGAAACACATGGGAATCATTAACAGGTTGAACTATGACTGTATTCCTCTCAGTCTCGTTATGAACACCTTTTTTCAGAACCAATTGGGTTGTCTCTCCTTAACATTCAGAAACCTAAATGGGAACACCTGCTAAAACAAACACTTTTACCATTTCCAGTACCATTCCGAATAAATTACAAAATATGAATAAAATCTGGCCAATGGTATTTGAGTTATCGCCTGGATGGATGTACAGATGGAAGTACGGATGGAGGCATTGCCTATATACTTTCGAACATTCGATGGGATAATGATTCTACCTGCATTTCTGCATCGACTAATAATAAGCAGAAAATATCGCAAAGAAATTCAGACCTCTTCAGATTAATGAATCAGGAATTAAAACTGCCTCAAAATGACTTGAGACATGACACGCCTTTTTTACCGTTATGTATTTTTATAGCCAGAAATAGATTCATTTTAAAGCGATATCTCGAAGACCATTTGGAATTAAGGTTCAATATTTTTAATTTTTCACTTAAAATGAATGAGCAATATTTGATATTTTTCATAAAAATCACTTTATTATTTAAAAGTGTTTACTCCAGTTGTATTTTTCATCAATAAGAATTAAACTCTTGAAAGGTATGTTCACAGGTGCTCATAGGTATTTTCAAGGCTCTGTTCAAGTAAAAACAATAAAATATAGATCTAACGATTTTATTTTCAATTTTCTGTGTGTTGTTAATGCAAACAAATGATTTTATTGTAGTACGTTTGATTTGATTAAGTAGCATAATAATTATGCTAAATATTTTTTATGTCCATGTCAGAAATAGAGCTTTCATTGGACTGTCTTTTATGAATCGTATCTTCATGCTATAGAGTCAATTACTCAAATATGCGCTGTAATAGTAACATGGCTTGAATGTCATTTCCAATGTAGATGCAATATACGATTGTTCAGCAGCTCAGAGGTTCAATTATAGTGTTCCCGGAATCATCTCATGAATGTTTAATATGTTGATGTAATTTCTGTTATGGTCCCTGCATATCTACTTTTCACATAAGTTCATCCACGCACCATTCCATGCATCCTATGGTGTTCTTCTTAAAACTTAAAAACATGAATTTCCTAATTACCTAAAATTGTATACTATTTTTGTTGATTTGCTTTTTTCAATTGTTCTTCATCTTGCTGTGACATAGCTGTTAATTTTTTCCCTATTCTGTCATGAATTTCCAAATATTTCGCTACACATCTGTCCAAACACACGGCTTCCCCTTTGGCAAGGTCTGCATCTTTGTATTTTGGTGGAACACATTTCTCTTGGCACACTCTGGTCATTCTGAAACAGAAAAAACATGACTTTTAGCCAACCTGTACATACAGTTAAGGATTTTATAGCAGTACTGTCAACCCCCAAAGATTTTCTCTTCAGATTTTTTAGACCTAGTGCCAAAAATTCGCGGGATTTCGCGGGACATGCACCTAAATTCGCGGGATTTCGCGAGACATTTAAGGGATTTGCGTGATTGCGCTAATAGGTCAAATTTTGATCAAATTCGCGGGATTTCGCGGGACCATTCGAGGGACAAACATGCTAATTGTGGGACACCTAAATTTGTGGGATGTCGCAGGACATTCTTGAAAGGGATTTACGTGATTGGGGCTTAATGAAAAGTTCTCAAATCAAACTTTCAGATACTGATTTATCAGATATAATGCACTTAACTTAGTAAACGTCAACACAATTCCACACAATACGTATAGAAATATTATTACTACAGGGTGGTCAAAAATATAGAACCCCTTATACCATTTTCCTCATATCTTTGTCATTTTAAAAAATAACTCCCTGATATTTTACACTTTTGTACATCATTCAATTTGCCTCCAGCTTATTTTATTTCATGACCATCAGATTGATAGTCACAATGTTACAGTACTCCAAAGAACATGCCCAGTGGCCACTATTGGGTTGTGTGGAAACTTGACTCTTCATCTAAAATGTCCCTACCTGTGGGGATATGGCAGAGATAGAGTATATGAGAATGACCTCAGGACAATTGCAAACCTCAAAAGTGAGATCATTTGTGTCATTCAGGCCATACCTGCTGAGGAATGCATTCGGCTCATTGACAACTGTGCTGTTTTGCCTACAGCGCGATAATGGCCAAATCTGAAGCATGTTATTCTAAGTGCTGTAAAATTGTGTCTATCAGTCTGATGGTCATGAAATATAGTAGGGTGGTAGGAAATTGAATGATGTACAAATGTGTGAAATATCAGGGAATGACAAAGATAAAGGGAAAATGCAGGGTTTCAATTTTTTGTGCTGTAAAATTGTGTCAATCAGTCCGATGGTCATGAAATATGGTAGGGCGGTAGAAAATTGAATGATGTACAAAATATCAGGGAGTAATTTCTTAAAGTGACAAAGATATAAGGAAAACGCAGGGTTTCCATTATTGACCACCCTGTATCAAAAAAACACGCTTTAGTTGTGAGTACCGTAATCCAACACGAAATTAAAAAATTCAGAACAATACTTTGCACTTATGGTGTTCGTGACCAACTATGAAACATTTACCCCCCCATAGTGTTACATATTAAAATGTACCTATTCAAATTGGGGTTCGATTAATCTAAATCAAATTATAGGGAGTCAGGTTTCTTTTCGAGATATCAGTGTCCATTTATTGGAACTCGGGTTTGCTAACATTTGCTCAGTTCTAAGATGAAGGCCGTGACACGCGTAGTAAAAAGGCCAACGTTGGAACTAAACGTGACATACATCCCTATTTTCGTAATTAAAATGAAAATTGCACATTTCCTCTTTATTTTGATACCAAATAACGGCATACTAGGTACTTGAGAAGCCAACTATGGTGTTATTTGGATCATAAATCGCAGTTTTATAAATGGACTATATGCTCTTTTCAAAAGCAGTTTACGATGATCTGATGCACTGGGAGTTTGGCAGCACTTTTCAAATTAGGGAAACTTTACTCCTCAAAAGCGCAAAAACTTAGCTTCTTATATCACAAGATAATCACAATTATTTAGCCTCGGGGATTGTTACAATTTTGAAAATTCGCGGAGGTCAAAGCCGACATTCGCGGGACTTTGCGGGACACGCAAATTAGCCAAATTTTGATCAAATTTGCGGGATAATCCCGCCATTCGCGGGACACTTGACAGCTCTGTTATAGAAAACAAAAAAGTTCAAAAACCAGAAGAGTAGCAAATCACAAAAGTATCAGAGGTGTAATCAGGTAATAGGTGTTAGTTAATTAAGCATTTATTTAATGTATTTGTATCAGTTTATTATTTAGAATAATCTGAAATTTTTGCAATTTCATCCATCAAATTTTGAACACCTTGGTCCAAAAATTGAACACTTCGCTTCAAATTTTAGTGCCAATATCCAAATTTTGGACACCTTAATTTTTTAGTGCTCACTTCATTTGCATCCACAATCCCATCAACGGGGTGGAGACAAGTACATTTGAAGCAAATATGTGACATCTATGCAATTCACGTTTTTGATGTTCTCATGAAATATTCTGCCACGCAAAAAAGTGTGACTTCAATTTCTTCAGCAAAAGCAAGACAAATAAGCAAATTGTTGGATGGCCTGCAGTTAGAAGCCATCAAGATAAACAAGAAGAAAATTGGGAAATAAAAACGATAATATTTATTGTCATTATTTCTATTTCTATTCATGTTTAAAAAAGATCATTCATCAAGAAATTCTGACCAGTGACTGGCAGGATCGGAGCTTGTATCAATTCTTGACATCTATTGGCCAACCTGGAAGACAGAACATGTAGAATATAACTACGTAATAGATCGTCTGTCTTTAAGTTTGGTTAATAAATTGATTCAGGTTCCTGAAGTTATGACAGGGAGAGTTGACTCCCCATGAAAAATTAAATCGCCAGAAGTGGGCGATAATAAGGGAGGAAAAGGACATATTACCTATTGTACATATCTGCCATCATTTCTATCTCCAAATCGGTTACAAGCTTTAACTGTGATTCAGACAAAGCCATTTTTATTGTTCTTTTTTATTATTTATACAAGATAAATGAGATATTTCTCACAAACGTGAGAATGTTCTTCGAAATTTCAAAGTCTCGCCTTGAAGTCTCGTGCACCTTGTAGTCTCGTGTGATTCTCAGAGAATAAGACGTATGTATCCAATCACGAAATGTAGTAGTAATGGTGTCCGTCTTCCTTTCAAGTCCTTTATCATAGATGTCCATGTACTTAGAAACAATGATTATAGATAGGTCTTTTCAATGCTAGATATAAAGTACACATGAATCAGTTATTGCTAATATGTAAAAATATCATTTTATTTCGTGATAGTAGACTCATTTTGGCGGAAGTTGGTTTGTTTTTGTTGATTTTGTAAGTTTTTACTTTTCTACATTGATAAATCGGTTACCATGGTGCCCTATTCTCATTGTGTTTGTTTAACGTAAAAGTGTTAATTCGCTGTTGATCGAGGTATACTCTACAGGCCTGTCAACTTGGGAACACCTAACATGAGTGACTTGGAAATGTTGAACACCTCCCCTCAAAATGTGGACACCTTGGTCCAAATCTGAACACCTTGATCCAAATTTTGAACACCTTGGTTTAAATTTTATTACATCTTGCCAAATTTTGAACACCTCAAATTTTTGCGCTCGCTACGCTCGCGTTTCAAACATCCATCAACGGGGGGGGGGGGGGGGGGGGGGGTAGGTACGAAAAATTTCGAACGGAATGCGTGACATATCCGTAATTCGCGTGAAAAGTCCGAACGAAATGCGTACATTTTTTCCCGTCGTTCGTATTTTTGCTGTGTAGACGATCTTTTTTAGAAAATTTTCTACAGATATATTTTTGCTTGACAATTACCAGATAAAATTCGTATTTGCGTGACATTTTCTGTCACGCAAAAATAACTGGCGTGACTTCAAATTCTTCAGCAAATGCGTGACAAATACGCAAATTGCGGGACAGTTGACAGGCCTGACTCTACTTCTAAGTCTTTTCAATGCCCTGCCCTTGAAGCTATTTTTACTTTTGTTCTACATCACACACTTGACACACCACTGAGTCAGCACTATCTATCCTTATTTATACTATAACTCTTTAGATTGATCAATCTAAAGATGGCTATGTGCAAATATAGTAAATCTATCCCTCTCTACAAGTCATTCATCTAAATAGGAATAGATGGAGTTACTAGGATTCTATAAGTCTGCAAACCTTAAAAATTACCCTCACAACTATTGCGCAGGAACTTGTAGCACTATAGTATGATATGAGATGCATATGTCAGATCTGAGTAATTTATATATGACAAGTCATATCATAGTGCTACAAGTTCCTGTGATGTCACTGGTGATCCGCTCGGTAAGTAACCAGCGTAATCGAGTGGATCACCAGTGGATGTGTTGAAATCTTGGGGTTGAAAATAAGCAGTCAAGCCACAGACAAAGTGCAATATCAATTGGAAAATATATTCATTTAAGACGCATAACGTTTTGGATTGCATTGTGGATTGACTGACAAAAGTTTGGCCTCTTGTAATTTGATACATGTACTTCTCTAATAAGTTTTTTTTCTAGAAAAAATGATCAAGATTGAAATTCCCTGAAAACCCCCATAAACTTGCTAAGCCCCTACTGGTCATTACCAATACACCCTACCATCCTTGTTGCCCCTTTACCATACACCCACATGTAATAAGATATGAACCTCTTTATTTCAGTATTGATGAAGCAACAATTCATACCACTTCTCACTTTCAAATGGCGACAGAACGTGACAAAGCTCTTAATACCAGAATCTCAGAACTAGGACTCAATTCATTACGGGAATATCCTGTGGCAGCGGGCCCGATAGTGATCCTTCATCTCATCAAACAGAAATTTTAGGTCAGAGCTCAACTCCACATTGTTTTGATGATAGAAATTGTATTAAAAGTCCAGATGGGTTCTATATCAAATCACCTGATAGGAGTGTTATTCGTTCATTGTCTGGGTTGAACTTGAGGTCACTCAATGATACAGATATAACTGATCCTGAAGATGTTGACCCTAATGCAAAGGAAACTGCTTCTAACAATGATGATAAGACTAACAATGGCATTCACAGTGCAATAAATAAAATAAATGATGCTACAAATGAAGGATTTGACAACCCAGCATTGAGTAATTATGCCATTATTAAGACTGGAGATGAAACCATTAAAGCAAGTGCCAACAAAGATGACTTTATAGATAAGCTCCATGATGGAGAAAGTAATAAAGATGAGACATTTAGTTTGAACTCCAAAGATGAACAATCAATGAACATAAACACATATGTAAAATGTGGTGATGCCAATATTAAAATAAGTAATGAGAAGGCCAACATTAACCCAACAGATACTAGTCATGATGAACCAGCAATGAATACAACTTCAAATGCTCACATAAACCTTGAAGATAATGCTCAGAGCTGTGATGACACTGTTTGTGAAAATGCAGGAGCTAACAGTACAGACACTCAATGTGTTAAAGATAAAAGTAAGGAAGAAGATCATGAGAATGAAAGTATGCGTTTACGTCATGACATGAACCATAAAATATTTGTAGGGAATATAAGCTACAGGGTAAGTTTGAGTTTACAAATGTACTTAATTGTGTTGTTCTATTTGTGTGTTTATTTTGTTCAAATGTTTCCCTTTGTGTAATAAAATAATAAGATCTATATTTGTCTTGGGGATCCTATGAGTTTTTCTTCTCCTTCACTTGGTGAAAGAGGGGTTTACAAGCAAAAATGTTGTTGAACATATATGCAAATTTATGGTATTTAATTACAGTTAAACCTGTCTTAGTGAACATCCCTTTCTAGTGAACACCTGTCTCAGTCTGGAAAATTTAGATATGAAATTGATTATTTTGAATATTTCAGGTTCAGCGAGAGGAACTTGCAGAATTCTTCTCCAAGTTTGGTAAAGTTGTCCACAGTTATGTAGTGAAAGATCATGTGAAACGCTGGTCACGTGGGTAAGATCATTTATCAGTTAATCCAACGCAGTTACCCAGATGCGAGTAGGTAGCTACCATTTTCACCACCAAGGGGCTGATTGGGGTAGATAACATGGCAGGGTATTAGAAAGTTCATCAGTTTTAGTGGTTAAATTTTTATATTACCGCTATGAATCTAATATTTATACAAAGTAAAATACTGTATATCCAATAAAAGAAATATTATCTGTACAATATTAGATATTTCAATTTTTGTTTTTTACTTTGGGAAATCTCCCTGACCTAGAAATCACATTTCCTGAGAAAATTAAATTTTCAAAGTTGAAACATTTTTTAAAACCACATTTCTAATGACGTAAATCAAGATTATTTCTACTCGCATCTACATGTAGTCTATTGATATTGCTTACATGTAAATCAAATAGACTGTTGCTTGATTGATTTTCCTGTGATATTTTATTTTTCTGTTGATATTTATGCCTATTCATAAATACACTGCTATCAAACATGAATAAAGTTTAATGATCAAATGGATTCATACTCAATGCTTTTTTTAAATTTTCTCTAGAATAGGATTTATAACATTTGCAAGTCAGGATGGAGTTAAGAAAAGTCTGGGTGCTTCTGATGAGGAGTTAACTCTTGATGGTAGACTGATGAGGGTTAAACCATCTGAAGAATCACAAAGAGTTAACAGACACAAAGTCACTAAGTCAGTTTTACAACATATAGAGGACACTACCAGTCAATGTCAAGATAATGAGCAGGTACGCTGCTAGCACTCCAACATATTTTTGTTGCAAGATTACATGCAGGCCCGTAGCCATGCAGTTTTTCACCATTCTTAGCACTTTTTTATTATTAGCTCACATGGTGAGCTTTTGCAATCGCTCACTTGTCCGTCTGTCTGTCTGTCCGTCCGTCTGTCCGTCCCTCCGTCTGTCCGTCCGTCCGTCAACAATAGTGGCACGTTTTAAAACCTCTGTCGATAGGATTCCTGTTTTAAGTTATTTCTGTTCAACATCAATACAGAAAACTCCCCTATGACTCCTGGTTCAAAAGCTCGCCTATTTTCAAAATGGCCACCATTTTTGTCTCGCGAAATTCACTTTTGACCCATTTCCTAGCTTTACAAATAATTTCAGGTGTCCTACATTGTAAAAATCTGTGTCATTGTAAAGAGTAGATATATGAAATAATTTTGTTACAAAAAATCAGCGAAAAATTATATCTTTTTTTTTATTTTCAGCCATTTTAGTTAACATTGATTTGTCCATCTGACTTGTGAAATCGATTTTTCCGTCAACAACAGTGGCACGTTTTAAAACCTCTGTCGATAGGATTCCTGTTTTAAGTTATTTCTGTTCAACATCAATACAGAAAACTCCCCTATGACTCCTGGCTCAAAAGCTCACCTATTTTCAAAATGGCCACCATTTTTGTTTCGTGAAATTCACTTTTGACCTATTTCCTAGCTTTACAAATAATTTCAAGTGTCCTACATTGTAAAAATCCATGTCAATGTAAAGAGTAGATGTATGAAATAATTTTGTTACGAAAAATCAGCAAAAAATTATATCCATTTTTTTATTTTCAGCCATTTTAGTTAACATTGATTTGTCCATCTGTCTCGCAAAATCCACTTTTGGACCTTTGCCTTAAACCCTCTGTCGATAGGATTCCTGTTTTAAGTTAATTTTGTTCAACATCAATACAAAAAACTCTCCTATGACTCTTGGCTCAAAAGCTCGCCTATTTTCAAAATGGTCACCATTCTTGTCTCACAAAATTCACTTTTGGCCCATTTCCTAGCTTTACAAATAATTTCAGCTGTCCTGCATTGTAAAAAGCCATGTCACTGTAAAGAGTAGTTGTATGAAATAAAATTGTTACAAAAAATCGGCAAAATATTATATCAGTTTTTTTTATTTTTCCGCCATTTTAGTTAACATTGATTTGTCCATCTGTCTCGCAAAATCCTCTTTTGGACCATTTGCTTAAAACCTCTGTCGATAGGATTCCAGTTTCAAGTTATTTTTGTTCAACATCAATACAAAAAACTCCCCTATGACTCCTGGTTCAAAAGCTTGCCTGATTTCGTTTTTTATAATAGGCCACGCCTCTTTTCTCAGTTTTAATGATAGGCCACACCCCTTTCTTTGTTTTTATAATAGGCCATGCCTCTTTTCTCGGTTTTTATGATAAGCAACGCCCCTTTCCTCGTTCTTATAATAGGCCACGCCTCTTTTCTCTGTTTTTATGATAAGCCACCCCCCTTCCTTCGTTTTTATAATAGGCCACGCCTCTTTTCTCGGTTTTTATAATAGGCCACGCCTTTTTTCTCGGTTTTTATGATAAGCCACGCCCCTTTCTTCGTTTTTATAATAGGCCACGCCTCTTTTCTCGGTTTTTATGATAAGCCACGCCCCTTTCTTCGTTTTTATAACAGGCCACGCCACTTTTCTCGTTTTTTATGATAAGCCACGCCCCTTTCCTCGTTTTTATAATAGGCCACGCCTCTTTTCTCGGTTTTTATGATAAGCCACGCCCCTTTCTTCGTTTTTATAATAGGCCACGCCTCTTTTCTCGGTTTTTATGATAAGCCAAGCCCCTTTCTTCGTTTTTATAATAGGCCACGCCTCTTTTCTCGGTTTTAATGATAAGCCACGCCCCTTTCTTCGTTTTTATAATAGGCCACGCCTCTTTTCTCGGTTTTTATGATAAGCAACGCCCCTTTCCTCGTTTTTATAATAGGCCACGCCTCTTTTCTCGGTTTTTATGATAAGCCACGCCCCTTTCCTCGTTTTTATAATAGGCCACACCTTTTTTCTCGGTTTTAATGATAAGCTACGCCCCTTTCTTCGTTTTTATAATAGGCCACGCCTCTTTTCTCGGTTTAAATGATAAGCCACGCCCCTTTCTTCGTTTTTATAATGGGCCACGCCTCTTTTCTCGGTTTTTATGATAAGCCACGCCCCTTTCTTCGTTTTTATAATAGGCCACGCCTCTTTTCTCGGTTTTTATGATAAGGCACGCCCCTTTTCTCGGTTTTTATGATAGGCCACACCCCTTTCTCGGTTTTTATGATAAGCCACGCCCCTTTCTTCATTTTCATAATAGGCCACGCCTCTTTTCTCGGTTTTTATGATAAGCCACGTCCCTTTCTTAGTTTTTATAACAGCCCACGCCTCTTTTCTCGTTTTTTATGAAAAGCCACGCCCCTTTCCTCGTTTTTATAATAGGCCACGCCTCTTTTCTCGGTTTTTATAATAAGCCACGCCCCTTTCTTCGTTTTTATAACAGGCCACAACTCTTTTCTTGTTTTTTTATGATAAGCCACGCCCCTTTTCTCGTTTTTATAATAGGCCACGCCTCTTTTCTCGGTTTTTATGATAGGCCACGCCCCTTTCTTCGTTTTTATAATAGGCCACGCCTATTTTCTCGGTTTTTATGATAAGCCACGCCCCTTTTTCCGATTTAGAAATAGGCCACGCCTACTTTCTCTGTTTTTATGATAAGCCACGCCCCTTTCGTCTTTTTTATAATAGGCCACGCCTCTTTTCTCAGTTTTTATGATAAGCCAAGCCCCTTTCTTCGTTTTATAATAGACCACGCCTCTTTTCTCGGTTTTTATGATAAGCCACGCCCCTTTCTTCGTTGTTATAATAGGCTACGCCTCTTTTCTCGGTTTTTATAATAGGCCACGCCTCTTTTCTCGGTTTTTATGACAAGCCACGCCCCTTTCTTCGTTTTTATAATAGGCCACGCCTTTTTTCTCGGTTTTTATGATAAGCCACGCCCCTTTCTTCGTTGTTATAATAGGCCACGCCTCTTTTCTCGGTTTTTATGATAGGCCACGCCTCTTTTCTCGGTTTTTATGACAAGCCACGCCCCTTTCTTCGTTTTTATGATAGGCCACGCCTTTTTTCTCGGTTTTTATGATAAGCCACGCCCCTTTCTTCGTTTCTTTAATAGGCCACGCCTCTTTTCTCGGTTTTTATGATAAGCCACGCCCCTTTCTTCGTTTTTATAACAGGCCACGCCTCTTTTCTCGTTTTTTATGATAAGCCACGCCCCTTTCCTCGTTTTTATAATAGGCCACGCCTCTTTTCTCGGTGTTTATGATAAGCCACGCCCCTTTCTTCGTTTTTATAATAGGCCACGCCTCTTTTCTCGGTTTTTATGATAAGCCACACCCCTTTCTCGGTTTTTATGATAAGCCACGCCCCTTTCTTCGTTTTTATAATAGGCCACGCCTCTTTTCTCGGTTTTTATGATAAGCCACACCTCTTTCTCGGTTTTTATGATAAGCCACGCCCCTTTCTTCGTTTTCATAATAGGCCACGCCTCTTTTCTCGGTTTTTATGATAAGCCACGCCCCTTTCTTCGTTTTTATAATAGGCCACGCCTCTTTTCTCGGTTTTTATGATAAGCCACGCCCCTTTCTTCGTTTTTATAATAGGCCACGCCTCTTTTCTCGTTTTTTATGAAAAGCCACGGCCCTTTCCTCGTTTTTATAATAGGCCACGCCTCTTTTCTCGGTTTTTATGATTAGCCACGCCCCTTTCTTCGTTTTTATAACAGGCCACGACTCTTTTCTCGTTTTTTATGATAAGCCACGCCCCTTTTCTCGTTTTTATAATAGGCCACACCTCTTTTCTCGGTTTTTATGATAAGCCACGCCCCTTTCCTCGTTTTTATAATAGGCCACGCCTCTTTTCTCGGTTTTATGATATGCCACGCCCCTTTCTACGTTTTTGTAACAGGCAACGCCTCTTTTCTCGTTTTTTATGATAAGCCACGCCCCTTTCTTCGTTTTTATAATAGGCCACGCCTCTTTTCTCGGTTTTTATGATAGGCCACGCCCCTTTCTTCGTTTTTATAATAGGCCACGCCTATTTTCTCGGTTTTATGATAAGCCGCGCCCCTTTTTCCGATTTAGAAATAGGCCACGCCTACTTTCTCGGTTTTTATGATAAGCCACGCCCCTTTCTTCGTTTTGATAACAGGCCACGCCTCTTTTCTCGTTTTTTATTTATTATAAGCCACGCCCCTTTCCTCGTTTTTATAATAGGCCACTCCTCTTTTCTCGGTTTTTTTTGATGAGCCACGCCCCTCTCTTTGTTTTTATAATTGGCAACGCCCCTTTCTTCGTTTTTTATAATAGGCCACGCCTCTTTTCTCGGTTTTTATGATAAGCCACGCCCCTTTTTTGTTTTTATAATAGGCCACGCCCCTTTTCTCGGTTTTTATGATAAGCCACGCCTCTTTTCTCGGTATTTATGATAAGCCACCCCCCTTTCTTCGTTTTTGTAACAGGCCACGCCTCTTTTCTTGTTTTTTATGATAAGCCACGCCCCTTTCTTCGTTTTTATAATAGGCCACGTCTCTTTTCCCAGTTTTTATGATAGGCCACGCCCCTTTCTTCGTTTTTATAATACGCCACGCCTATTTTCTCGGTTTTTATGATAAGCCACGTCCCTTTTTCCGATTTAGAAATAGGCCACGCCTACTTTCTCTGTTTTTATGATAAGCCATGCCCCTTTCGTCGTTTTTATAATAGGCCACGCCTCTTTTCTCAGTTTTTATGATAAGCCAAGCCCCTTTCTTCGTTTTATAAAAGACCACGCCTCTTTCCTCGGTTTTTATGATAAGCCACGCCCCTTTCTTAGTTTTTATAATAGACCACGCCTCTTTTCTCGGTTTTATGATAAGCCACTTTTCTCGGTTTTTATGATAAGCCACTCCCCTTTCTTCGTTTATAATAATAGGCCACGCCCCTTTTCTCGGTTTTTATAATAGGCCATGCCTTTTTTCTCGGTTTTTATGTCCCCACCACATAGTGTGGGGCCATATTGTCGGCCTAGGCGCGTCCGTCTGTCTGTCCGTCTGTCTGTCCGTCTGTCTGTCTGTCCGTCTGTCTGTCCGTCCGTACGTCCGGCAGTTTTCTCCAAAACCACTACAGATATCACCTTCAAATTTTCAGAGATAACTTATGAGTGCATACAGATGTGGATGAAAAAAATTTACTCGATACCTACTTCCTGTCGGCCATTTTGAAGTCAAATGCTAAAATCCTTGTCTGCAAACTTTAAGAAAAACGGCTTACAGTTGCTTTTAAAACTTTAACATCTTGTTCAGCTCACTTCATTCTAGATCTGATTAGGTTTTGGACCTGTTAGCTCAGTCATATCAGCCATTTTGAATGTTTTAAGAAAAGTTAGCGCACGATAATACTTTGTATCATATTGAATGGTGTTTTTCAGTTTTCATACTTTAACTTTTTAGTGGCTTTATAAATAATTTCAGGTGTACTTTGTTGTAAAAGCTTATGTTATTGTTAACAGTCGTTATATCATATATGATATGTGATAATTTTGTAAAAAGATTTCAGCAAAAACTCTTAATCACTTTTTTATTGTCGGCCATTTTGGATTTTTCCGTCCTAAAATCTTTTCTGTAAAGTCTTGTCTACGCGTTTTCAGGTGAACCGTTTGGTAGATCAATTTCAAATTTACAGGGATGATTCTTAGTATGAGAATCTAGATCTGATTATTTTTACGGCATTCTGGATAAATGTCAAGGCAGCCATTTTGGATTTTCCGTCCTAAAATCTCGTCTGTAAAGTCTTGTCTACGCATTTTCAGGTGAACCGTTTGGTAGATCAATTTCAAATTTTCAGGGATGATTCTCAGTATGAAAATCTAGATCTGATTATTTTTACGGCATTCTGGATAAATGTCAAGGCAGCCATTTTGGATTTTCCGTCTTAAAATCTCGTCTGTAAAGTCTTGTCTACGCATTTTCAGGTGAACCGTTTGGTAGATCAATTTCAAATTTTCAGGGATGATTCTCAGTATGAAAATCTAGATCTGATTATTTTTACGGCATTCTGGATAAATGTCAAGGCAGCCATTTTGGATTTTCCGTCTTAAATCTTGCCCGTAAAGTCTTGTCTACGCGTTTTTAGGTGAACCGTTTGGTAGATCAATTTCAAATTTTCAGGGATGATTCTTAGTATGAAAATCTAGAACTGATTAGTTTTTGGGCATTCTGGGTGAATGTCAAGGCAGCCATTTTGGATTTTCTGTCCTAAAATCTCGTCTGTAAAGTCTTGTCTACACATTTCCAGGTGAACTGTTTGGTAGATCAATTTCAAATTTTCAGGGATGATTCTTAGTATGAAAATCTAGAACAGATTAGTTTTTGGCATTCTGGATAAATGTCAAGGCAGCCATTTTGGATTTTCTGTCCTCAAATCTTGTCTGTAAAGTCTTGTTTACATGTTTTCTGGTTAACTGTGTGACGGATCAATTTCAAATTTTCAGGGGTGGTTCTTAGTACATGTTTTCTGGTTAACTGTGTGACGGATCAATTTCAAATTTTCACGGGTGGTTCTTAGTATAAAAATCTAGAACTGACTAATTTTTGGGCATTCTTGGTAAATTTTAAGGTGGCCATTTTGGATTCTCCGTCCACAAATTGTGTCGGTAAAGTCTTGTCTACTCATTTTTAGGATAACCATTTGACAGGATCACCCATAGATGGGGACATATTGTACACATTTGTGTTCTTGTTATGATAAGCCACGCCCCTTTCTTCGTTTTTATAATTGGCCACGCCCCTTTCTTCGTTTTTATGATAAGCCATGGCCCTTTCTTCGTTTTTATAATAGGCCATGCCTCTTTTTTCGGTTTTAATGATAAGCCACGCCCCTTTCTTCGATTTGATAATGGGCCACGCCTTTTTTCTCAGTTTTTATGATAAGCCACGCCCCTTTCTTCGTTTTTATAATAGGTCACGCCTCTTTTCTGGGTTTTTATAATAGGCCACGCCTCTTTTCTCGGTTTTAATGATAAGTCACGGCCCTTTCTTCGTTTTTGTAATAGGCCACGCCTCTTTTCTCGGTTTTTATGATAAGCCACACCCCTTTTTTTCGTTTTTATAATAGGCCACGCCTCTTTTCTCGGTTTTTATGATAAACCACGTCCCTTTCTTCGATTTGATAATAGGCCACGTCTATTTTCTCGGTTTTTATGATAAGCCACGCCCCTTTCTTCGTTTTTATAATAGGCCACGCCTCTTTTCTCGTTTTTTTTTTATAATTGGCCACGCCTCTTTTCTCAGTTTTAATGATAAGCCATGCCCCTTTCTTCGTTTTTATAATAGGCCACGCCCCTTTTCTCGGTTTTCATAATAAGCCACGCCCTTTTCTTCGTTTTTATAATAGGCCACGCCCCTTTTCTCAGTTTTCATAATAGCCCACGCCTCTTTTCTCGGTTTCTATAATAGGCCACGCCCCTTTCTTCATTTTTTATTATAGGCCACGCCTGGTGAGCTATTGCAATCACTCACTTGTCCATCTGTCTGTCTGTCCGTTTGTCCGTCTGTCTGTCTGTCAACAATTGGCCTGTTTTAACACCTCTGTCAATAGGATTCCCGTTTTAAGTTATTTTTTTTCAACATCAATATGGAAAACCCCAGTATGACTCCTGGTTCAAAAGCTCGCCTATTTTCAAAATGGTCCCATTTTTTGTCTCGCCAAATTAACTTTTGGCCCATTTCCTAGGTTTACAAATAATTTCAGGTGTCTTCCATTGTAAAAAGTCATGTTACTGTAAAAAGTAATTGTATCAAATAATTTTGTTACAAAAAATAGTCAAAAAAATATATCCTTTTTTTTTATTTTCAGCCAGTTTAGTTAACATTGATTTGTCCATCTGTCTCGCGAAATTCACTTTTGAACCATTTGCCTTAAAACCTCTTTCGATAAGATTCCCGTTTTAAGTTGGTCGCCATTTTTTGTCTCATGGAATTCACTTTTGGCCCATTTCCTAGCTTTACAAATAATTCCATGTGTCCTGCATTGTAAAAAGCCATGTCTTTGTAAAGAGTAGCTGTATAAAATACAGCCAGCAAAAAAAAATATATATTTTTTTTATTTGTTGTCATTTAAGCCATCATTCACTTTTGAGCAACACCATGTGAGCCCAATACCCATGGTACTATTTTTTTATTGAAAAGAAGAATGACCTGTATCTAAAAAACAACAGCAATTATCAGAATTCATTTCTTTATTCTAATTGTGAGGATATATTAAGAGGTTAAATTCCATTAATACTAATAAATAAATAATATTCTCCCTAGCTCCTAAACGATCTTGTTTACATCAAATTCCAGTCACTTAAAGGAGAGCTTATACAGTAATATGTGTGTTGTTGTAATTTTTATGTTGCAGATGCAGGAAACATCACCAGACATGGCAGTGCAATTTCCACAAGATCCTACAAATATCACATCTCTGACCGATGATGCACTATTGACCATTTTCTCATACCTTGATGTTAGACATAAAATAAAAATAGAAAGAGGTAATTTGATTGTACATCTAAATTTCTTCCATAATCAGTTGGGTCACCTTTTCCCTTACACTGTACATGGTGGAACCCTATATCTCCAAAATACTAGTGAATTTCTTCTACAGAAGATAGTTTTAAAACCAAAACTATACATGATAACATGTAAAAAAACATGTAACGCCAGTGATTTCTAAAGCATAAGAGCAACTGGCTGCTGCACCTTGTTAAAATTTGAAAATTACTTATGCCACCCTGCTAAAAATTTGTTGGCACCATGTCATAAGGTTGAATAATTCACATATTTTGACCAAAACATGTAAACTTTAGCACCCCTTGAGGCATAGCCATGACCTAGAAATAGACAAGGCAAAGATTAAAAGTCTGAGACAAATCTGAACTTTTTTCCACTGTATTAGTTGAAAAAATATCTAGAAAAATATATAGGGTGTCTCAAAAAATGTACCCAAAAGTAAATCAACAGCATAGACAAACCAATCAATATTTTCAGACATTTTTTGCATGGTCTTGTAGTCAAAACATGAAAGTTTTTTCCCCTATACACAGTTTTTAATTCAGTTTTGCCTTTTTGATACTTTAACCCGTTTACCTTTTACACCACATTTTCAATGTAACCTCATTTTTTGATGACAGTCTGCATCCTTACTACTACATTGTTCATCACATTTGATATTTCTGGTGGAAAGTTTTGATTTCTGTCCGGATGCTGGTCTTAAGTTGTTCTAGGTCTGTTAGCTTTGGTTTAGCATAAATATGGTCCTTCAAATACATGTAGCTGCAGAGAAAAAAGTATGGACCTTCAAATCTGGTGAATAGGGAGGCCCTCACAATGTCTTAAAAGCCCCCCCCCCCATACAGAGAGGTCAGATGTCCAAGAAACTGCATTGGTTGGGATTCTAGTGTAGCCTTTGTATCAATTTGAGACCACAGTGTGTTCATTTGGATATTATATCATTTGGTCTCCATGCTAGCCTGCGTAACTCTGGAGGGTAACTCCTGAATCATTTGCAGATAATTGACCAGATTCTCTGTGTTTGTTCTGCCATCGTCATCCTCAAACATCTTTCTCTGCGGCTATTTGAAGGAGTGTTTTAATACTCATTCCAAGCAAAAAGATCAAGAACAGCTTAAGGGCAACATCCAAAGAGAGATCCAAAACATTCCATCAGAATTATTATCAAATGTGATGTACAATGTAGCAGTAAGGATACAGGCTGTCATCAAAATATGAGGTTAGATTGATTATGTGGTGTAAGAGGTAAAGGGTGGAAGCATCAAAAAGGCAAGACTGAATTAAAAATGGTGTATTGGGGAGAAAACTGTCATGTTTTGGCAACATGACCATGCGAAAAATGTCTGAAAATATCGATTGGTTTATCTGTGCTGTTGATATACTTTTGGGTACATTTTTTTGAGACACCCTGTATACATGTAATACTTTGATAAGGCAGGTGGTTAAGTTATGCCTTTGATCCCATTGACAAAACTGCTGGGAGATCTCTGCATTGTGTACTCTTTGGCCCATAGCAAGGGGGTTGTGGTTCGACCCCCCACCAAAAATTGGAACTCAGTTGTCAAATGTGAACCCACCCCCTGGATTTTTTAAAAAATGAACCCCCTTGACAAAAACTGTCTACGGGCCTGACTAATTACTTGATATGGCTGTATCTAATTTTATATTCACATAGAAATACTGATCAGTATGGTGTGTTTTCAGTATGCAAGAGGTGGAGACAACTTTCTATACAAAGCTGGCATAGTGCTGCCATTATTGACTTCTCGCATACGTTCAACTGGAGATTTGGAGGTAAGTTTCTTATTCACATCATGACCTCAATCTCATTCCTATACATATCAGGGGTTTCATTTAGCAGCAGGCTCCATGTAACGTTTAAATTTGAATCAACTCAGCCATCTGAATTTCACCTCCAGTACATGTATAAGTCCAAACTAAAGAAGTACAATCTATTTATAGATGCTATATTTTGTTGCTGTTAAAAAGAAATGGTCAAACATCTTTGAAATCTGAGAAAGGCTTGGTAGCAATATGGTGAACTAAATTGAGTGCATGTGTCTCTTAAACCTGTCATCAAAAAATTCTGAAAAAATGACACGTCGTCAATTTAAAGGTCTTCTTTTGAATGGTAACAATTTAATTAAGAAAAATATATATTAAGTACTTATCAATATATAGTTTTAAAAAACACATCAGACACTTCTTTTGTTCTTGATACCATACTATACCCAGTGCTTTCAGTAGGTTTGTCCAAGAGTGCGTCCCTTGGTTGGATTGGTTTTCAAAAAGTGAGTCCCCCCTCAAAAAAGTGCATCCAGTGAAAAAAGGTTCCCTGGAATTAAAAGTCACATTTTTACACTAAATGAAAAAATTGATGAAACGTTTCTTATCATTTTTTTTTATTTATCGGCCTAAATCAGCGTTCTACACATCTAGTGGGTCACTAAATGATACAGAAACCTTCACTTGAAAGAGATAACTAATATTCAACCATTAAATATGCATTTTCTTTTCATATTTCAAGCAATTTGCTATTGATTTTGATAGGTCTGAAAATTTCACTTGGGGAAATCTCCACGAGGTTCCATTTATTAGTTCTGTGTTATGCGCAACAAATCCAGCAATTTGATTAGTTCAAATTGTTAAGACGCATGCATGATTAATAATCACAGCCAATCATAGGACCCATACCAATAACTGCTCAGTACTGTAGCAACTAGTGATTGTCCTATCAAATGGCCTATCAGTATTTCGATCGGAAATCATTTTCCGGAAAAGAAACTTGGACAGAAAATAATGTATTTCTTTTAGTAATAGAATAGAGAGATTTCGCACCTAGTGAAAGTACAACTTATAACGTATACTTATACTTATAGGTAAACGTACAAGGAGTTTCATAATGTGGGCTTTTCGTCAGGAAAGATCTTCTCGGACTGTAATAAATACAGGTCAAAGGGATGAGATTTGTACTTTCTTGAATTATAGCATGTTTAGTTGATCCAAATGTCTTTGTCTAGAATAAAATAGGCTCATATATAGTACATATGTTATAGACCCATCTCTTCTCAAATTGACTTTGTGGAGATGCTCGTTATGGAACACCCTGTATGTCATATGTTGAGCTACTGAATTTACTGTTTCCAGGAATTGCTAGAACCTACTGGTTTGATTGGTGTTTCAAATTGATGGTTAAAGTATTTGATTGGATGCTGTTCCCACTCAGCCAATTAATTTCAAAAAATGCTTGCTGTCAATTGTTCCACACACGTGTAGGCAAATCTTTATACGGAGATCCAACTGTATACGTTATCATCTACGTAAATATACCGTTTTGTAAGTTCATTGAACTTATACTGATCATGAAAACATTGAAATAATCAACTTGATTATGTAATGACTCACTTTAAAGCCCCCCTCACATATGAACGAAAACCCCTTTACGTCAACTTGCGTATATAGGCGAATAGGAAATTAGTCAAATTCGTTCTCATTAGTACGAGTTCGTGACAGTACGTCGCAGTGTTCGTATAGATGCGTTTGTCAGCGTTTACCTCGGTTGAAATTAGTATTTTTCGTCGGAAAATTTTGAACATGTTCAAAAAATTGCAGCGAATAAAAATTTCGTGTGTCATTCGTTGAAATTTGTTTCAATGCGTTAACGATCCGTTAACCTTCGCATTGGCTTTGTCAAGTGACGTTACAGGTCGCTGGGGATAAGGTCGTACCCCCATAATTTGCATATCAAGCGACTGACGACGATCCCATTACGAACCATTACAAACCATTGCGGCAGTTTGCAACCTTGTACGCAGTGGAACGAATACTTACGAATTGGATCTACGTTAAGCTGAATAATTGAGAGGATACCAAATTAAATCAAATAATTCTTTTGTCATGGAAGACACAGATCGACTGAGGCTGTAGTATGTGGCTGCTATGGCCCAGCAAGAAGTTTTAACGCAGCAACTTAACATTCATGAGTTCATCAGAGGCCGTTTTAGGCGGAGAAGGGGAGCCAGAGGACGTGGCATCTGGAGGAGACAATGGTTGAATCCAGAGAGACGGCGCCAATTCGGCATCTATGATCAGCTCATGGTGGAGCTGAGAAGAGAGGACCCCAGAACATTCAAAAAGTTCCTCTGTATGCCAACAGAAATGTATGCGAAATCTTTGAGAGGGTCCGTCCTCGGCTATGGAAACAACATAGCTGGTACAAAGAGCCTTTAGGTCCAGGCCTCAAACTAGCTGCCACTATTCGCCACCTGGTTTCTGGTGCCAAGTACTCTGACATGCAGTACTCCTGGCGGGTTGCTGAGAATACCCTCTCTGTAGTGGTAAGAGAAGTCTGTCAAGTGTGACGAATATGTTGATGAGGTCATGACAGCCCCCTCCACACCTGAAGAATGGAAACAATTGGCTGATGGTTTCCTCGAGAAGTGGAACTTTCCAAATTGCGTTGCTGCAATTGATGGCAAACACATAGCCATCAGAAAGCCTAATAGCTCTGGTTCCTTATATTATAATTATAAGGGTTTCTACAGCATCATCTTACTGGGAATTGTCGACTCAGACTACAAGTTCATGTGGTGTGATCTGGGTGGTGAGTAAACTCTACATACGTTACTGCATTAATTTTGTAATTATATAGATTTAATACAATTATAGCTATATTTGCAATGGATACTGACAATATTTTATCCTCTTACTCTTGTATAATTTCAGGATATGGTTCAAGTGGAGATGCCAGGATCTATAATGCATCGGAATTCTTGGAGATGGTGCAGGATGGTTCGATCGCATTTCCACACCAACAGCCATTTCCCAACGACACCGTTGATATGCCTTTTTTCTTGGTAGGGGATGACGCATTCAGCCTCAGTGATCACATGCAGAAGCCCTATGGGCATAGAAACCCTCACTAGAGAGGAAAGAATTCTAAACTACCGGTTATCGAGGGCTAGGAGGGTTTCAGAAAACGCCTTTGGAATTTTGGCCAACCGATTCCAGGTACATTGTAATTTATAATATTTGTCGGCGAAACAAACAGTTAAACTCCAAGTTCCTGGGACTATCTAGATACGTTTATTCGACTTTGAGTAAATGAGACTTCATTCGAACTTCCGCTAATTGAGACATGAAAATAGTATGTTTTGTTTGATAAATAATTTGAAAGATGCGCATAAATTGGAACCAACTGAGTTCCACATTCGACCTATGACAGTTTAACTATTAATCTGTATTTTCAAATTAATTCAATTTAACGCATAATAACATTTCAGGTACTCCTCTCAACGATGAACCATAAGCCATCCACAGCGAGGCTGATAGTCAAGACATGCTGCATTCTCCACAACTTGATGAGAATGAGGTACCCTACAATGCAAAATGCACTGATTGACCAAGAGGACAGAAGAGGCGACATGGTTCCTGGGGAATGGAGGAGAGATCGCAACTTGGAAGATGTCAGGCCTGTCAATATCAGAGGCCACAACACAGCAAATAAAAAGGGGAAGATTGTGAGAAATACTCTGAAGCACTGGGTCAACTCTCCAGCAGGAAGTGTACCATGGCAAGACAGGATCGTGCCAAATTAAAGGTTGGACTTTGAGAAATAATCTAAAGCACTGTGTCAACTTGAAATTAAGTGTAATTTGCCTGACATAAATTGTAAAAACTAGTTTAAACGTATTTTTGTTTTACGAGTCTAATAATAAGAAATGTATTGATATAATATCAAAGGGAAAATACCAAACATGATCAGAAAACACAAGAGAAACAAAATCTTTAAGCGAATATTGTCATTAAAAACAAACCCCAACTATCCCAAATGAAATTCAAGAGTCAAAAGAAACAGTGTCCAACACCCTTCCATTCTAATATCAAATATTACGGCCCAAAACCATAAAACATAGGGATATTCCATTCAAACTGAAGTAATTACAATAATTGCTTGGCATGGTAACCAATTGTACGTGTTAATAACATTCCCAATGGATGATCACTGTATGAATTTCAAATCTGTGTTGACTACGACCTCTTAATTAAGGTAGACTATGTTAGAAATGTCAGAAGAGCCATATTAAATACAGGGTGACACCAAAAAATGCCACCCACTTATTTCAGAATGACTTTCTTTTATTTGTAGATAGAGTGTTCAATGGAAGAAAGATTGGTATGCTTGCATTGCATCAATAACTAAGAATAAAGAGATATCACATTTTCCGCGGAGGCATGCTCTGACACAAAATCGTCTTGCCATTTTTATATTTCATTAACTTACGTTGTGTGAATAGGTTAACAATTTCAGATTTATATATGATAGTGTGGTGTTGTCAAGTAAATTGACCCTTACACTTTTCGCAAAGGTTCGTTTAGATTCGGAAGCATGCGCACAATTGCGCTTTGGTTCGCATGTATGCGTTGTTAATCGCTGACGGGAATCGCTGACGCCTCCTGCTTTTCGTAAGCCTTTGTTCAGATTCGGAAGAATGCGCATAATTACGCTTTATTTTGCATGTATGCGTTATTACTCGCTGAAGGGGATGTCAACGGTTGTTTGCGAGACGCAACGCATCTTAGCGAAGAAAAGTAGTAATTCGTCACACTTCGTAAAACATTCGCAACAAATAGTTACCTTACATTACTATCCGCTATGTTTTCTATTATGTAACATATTTTTAAACATTTTCGCTCAATATTCGCCAGAAATGACTAATTTACCACATGCGTCAGGCTGCGTTTGGTGGATTCAATCATATGTGAGGGGGCCTTAAAGAATCATGACTCACTTTAAAGGATCGTGTTTATAATACACTACAACTACAAGGACAGGGAAGCAAGCATTTAATCATAATGTGCATAATCTACATGTGCAGATGACAGTGCGTTCACAGTCTCTAGTTGATGGACCTTTTCTATAACAGGAATAGTTATGTTCCATTAAGTACAATTTAAAATTGATTTTAGTAAATATAATAGTTCGACATGACCCTTTAAACTATACGTATACGTATAAGTAACGTTGTACTTTCACTTATGTGCGAAATCTCTCTAATATCCTTCGTTTATTTAGCGTATTTCGACCAAATAAAAGACTGGAGGTAAGACCTTTTTCCAAGTCTATCAATTTTGTTAATGAAAACACAGGACTTTGCGTCCCAGGGATTGATCAATAAAATTTGTTGGAGTCCCTTCATGAAAATCTGGGTCCTCCCAGTGTTATGGACGCGTTACTGAAAGCCCTGCATACCATACCATATGTTCGGAATGAAATGAAACATCTATTCCAACCTTATTGGAACAAAATGGCATCACATATACTCAACGTGTTTAGGTCTCTCAATATTGTAATTCTACAAAGGAAAGTTGGGTTCATTTTAAATATCTTGTTAATGAAACTTCAATTTTTATCTATTGTGGGTTTTTTATTTTATTTTTTGGGATGCTTTTTTTAATGAACCAAACTTTCCTTTGTATAACTATGATATTGAAAGGTCTAAGAAAATGTTGTATATGCCATTTTGTTCCAACAAGGTTGGGATAGATATTTCATTTCATTCTCAATAGTGGTAGAAAAGAACAAAAAGCAATAGACTAGATGCGAGTAGAAATAATCTTGATTTACGTCATTAAATATTGAAAAAATCAGAAATGTGGTTTTAAAAAGTGTTTATCAACTTTGAAAATTTAATTTTCTTTGAAAATGGGATTTCTAGGTCAGATACCCCATAAACCCTATGTTATAAAATCACAAGTGAAATATCTTTTCTTATATTTGACAGAAAATATTTTGTTTTACTGGAGACATTTCAATTTGTCCAACTATCAATATTCAAGTTTAAGGGTACTTTCTAATACCCTGCCATGTTATTTACCCTGAATCAGCCACCTGGTGGTAAAACTGGTAACTACCTTCTCACATCTGGTTAATTGCACTAAAAAACAAAAATTGTTCACAAAAACAATAATATGAAATATATATAAACAATTTTCACATTAAATTGATGTCAATCAGTGACCATTACATAAAGTTTTGTTTTTTACAGAATGTTTTCAATAATTGGTTTAAGAGAAAAACAATGTTGAATTCAGTTCACCATATCACTACCAATCCTTTAAAGAAAGCAGCTTTGCTTAGGATGGCACTAACCCAAGTGGATGATGATACTTAACTCACAACTCAGTGGAGATTTACAATTTATTCTTTCTAACACAGTTTTGTCACTGCAAAAAATGTCATTTGGATAAACATCAATCTATTGTGAAGCTGTTTTCTTTAACCTCTTGAATCCCAGGCTCTAAAATTGGTTGAAACCAGAGATTTTTTCATTTTTGCCACCTTTTGACATTATGCTATATACATATACAACTTCAGATGCTCAACATAGTAAAATTAGACGGCAGAGATCATTTCTACATATTTTAAAACAAATTTTGTGAAAATTGGCTGAAAAGTGTTCAAATAAGAGCAATTTTAGTGAAAAATTTTGTGACGGATTTTCTCGTCACTCTGGGTTTCAAGGTCATTTCTTAGGTGACGAGAAATCTCGTCACTCCAGGTAGTCAAGAGGTTAAACTCTGATGTTTGAGATATTTTCTTCATTTTCCTGCAGTTGTTTACAACTGGAACTTTATTAGTTAGCACAGAGACATATAAAAAATTAGCATGACAAAGTATTTGAAATCATGATTTTACTTGGTTTAGCTTAAATCTAAGTATTATTCATATCAAACAAATTTTGGCTACCATCTTTGATGATCCTAACTCCACTCCTTTGCAGTTACAATTGAATAGTGACAACTTCAATTATTTTTGTCTTTTAGTTCTTGCTTAAACCTTTCTACTTCTTTTATTAACTGTTCATTACGCTCGCACTCTGATTTATATTTGTTTTCCAATTCTTCATTTTGCTTTTTCAGCTTTTCAATCTTTTCACGTTCTAATTTTAATTCCTGTTCATGTGCTTCCTTGGACTTGCTGCTATCATTCATGAGCTGCTGTATATGTTGACCTCTTCTTTTGATTTCTTTGACATTATTGGATATTGTCTCCTTGTCTGAATCTATTTCATCTTGTTGTTTCTTAATTGTCTTTTCATGTTGCTCAATTACATCTTTCAATAACTTCAATAGCTGATTGCTGTTTTCTAAATCTTCACTATTTTGCCTAAGATCAATACTGTTCTGTCTTATTTGTCTATCTGCCATTTTCACAACATCCTCACAGCTAATGCCGCTTATATCTTTTCCACATTTTATTCCCTCTTGAGTCTGATTCTTGTGTTTACTAACTGAAAAATACGTGGAATTTGTTTATTTAATAATTTGAATAAATTATAGTGGTTTTGGAATTCTTATTGAACACATATTATATAGAAGGTTGAGAAGTAGGTCAAGCTTGACAAAATGTCCAATTATAATGTTAATGTATTATTACGTTATCTACTTAAAACAGAATCCATGGTACAAATATTATATTTGAAGAATGAATAAATCAATCAGTACTTAATGACTGCTGCTTATCATTTCTGGGAAGCGTGGTTAATTGTCTTGTTGGGCCTGTTAATAAAGAAAGAGTATTTATTTTGACATTGCATCATCATAATTGTAGTTATGTTCAGAATGTATCTCAGTTCTTTGTCAGAAGATAAAATTGGGATTGTAAGGAAAACATTGCCATGATTTTTGTAATATTTCATTTATTTTTTGAAAAATTTCTAGTACATGTACTAATTTATACATTAGAAGAATAATTTGAAATCAGTACTTGTTGGCTGTGGGTCATCATTTGTGGGTTGCATGTGTATTTGTCGAGTAGAATCTGTAAAGAAAAAAAGGATTTGGGTTAGATGTAAAGGCCATATCGTGTTTCCTGCAAATTGTATCACTATTGAACTTCTATTGATACATGTGGTAAAATAGTTATTATTATCAATCAAATTAAATAATCTTTCATTACTATTCAGTATGTACCAATTGTTGGTTGCTCTTTATCTGATGCTGTGGGTGGCATTATCTGTTTGCGACCGACCGACCTTTCATCAGTTGGTAAACACGTCTTTATTCCTTCAATTTGTGTACTTAATAAGCTTATGTTGTCCTTGTTTTCTCTAATTTGTTCATCATGTTCTTCAACTTTGCTAGAAAGTCTGTCTACTTGTTCCTTGATTCTGTTCTTGTTCTCAAATGTATCAATTAGATTTTTCATATCTTGCGTTTCTTCTTTGAATTCTTCCACTTTTGAGCCAACCACTTTTGTATAGGTATCCCAAGATTCAACAGCTAACTCGATCATACGTCTATCTGTTATTTCATTGATGTTTGTGAAGATCTCCCCTGAAATATATTCACATACATGTGTATATGACATAGTTTGTTAGTGATTCTTAACATTAGTTAGGATGTTGCAGTTTGTTTCCTTGTAACAAGTTGCACTTATCACTATTTTGTTTTTACTGTAGGTACAGTAAAACCCTTTTTAATTTGAAAGCCATTGGGGGACTGGTTTAAAGTGTTTGAATTAGAAGGTGATTGGTTTTGGATGTTTTTGCATCCACAAGATTCTGGATTTTGAAGAAATATATTGCATTCTCAATGAATAATAAATTGAACACATAGATTTAAGGCATTCCAAAATCCAATTAAGATGAATTAGTCATGCTTTAAATATCTCTCCTTTTGCCTTTTGAGCTAACATATTCACTTTGAATGAATGAATGACTATATCCATGTCTGTTGTAGATTGTTGTAAATTTGCCTCATTTGACTTTTAAATGATTAGGACTGCTGCTTTTGTAATTTGAAGTATCTTGTTCATAAAATAGTCAAATAAACATAACAAATCATCTCACTTTTATACCTAGAATCTTAAATTGTTAACATTCTTACCTTTTTGCTGCCACATGTCTAACATCTTCAGTGTTCTCGCTCTTAATGCATCATTATCCCATGCAATTATCCTGATTATCATCTTAAGTTTCGTAATGTTTTGTTGGAAATCCTTTACAGTCATTCCAGAACTATGTCCCCAAGAGGTGGCAATTTGTTTAATATATTTTGTTAAGACGATTAATAAATCAGGTTTATGGAGTGACGCATTAACTTTTGGCACATGCAGAATTAAGTGTAGAAAGACATGTAGGTTTGTGATTGATTGTATTTTCCCTGCAAATCTGTTATGTGGCTCAAGAAAACTGTTTGCCAGTTCCTCAAGTGATGACATTTTTTCAGGAGGATACCGTTCACAATCATATTTAGCATCTGCAAGTATTTCTTGGAGTGTTGAAACGTCCCCTGTTTCTATAAAATGTCCAAAGACCTCATTCATTCTTGTTTCAATGTGGGTTTTCAATAGGTTGAGAATTACATCAAGTAATAAACAGCTAAATGTAAGACTTCGACTTCTCTCTGCAGTAAGTGCTGAAAATGAAAGGAATATACAATGCAATATCTTGATGTTTTTCATAGACAGTAGACATGCAGGTCCTGTAGATGGAAAAAAACAAAAATTTTGAAGGTATATGTCATTCCTGCAAAATGTGAAATAAAGCATCAAAATATAGCTCTTGATAGTTATAAACTTTATGATTATCAAGCATGTTGAACATATTCTGACAATGTGAGGACCATAAAGGATTGTCATTTTCTAAATTTATACTACACAAATCTGATTTACTTTTAATCAATCAATTTTAGTTTAATATGAATCATTTTTTCCCAAGACCAATTGAAATTCTGATTAGTTTTAGTTTTCAAAACAGTAAACATTCCCAGACCACTTTTGTTAACTGACCTTGTGACTCTGATTTTTTGGCGTTCACTCTTTTTACAAGGTCATGGCGTTCTACATGCTTCAGCGCTTTAACTAGTTCTTCTTTTTTGTTTGTATCCACGTGCTGTTTTTGTTTCCATGTCACAAATAGTTGGAAGATCCACTCTGCAGCATTATGTGGACTACTCATTCGCCTGGTCTGGATAAATGGCATTTCAAAACCAAGATGGATGAACACTTTGTTGACATCATCACCTAACAGTTCACTAATTTCATATAGAATTGTATCTTCTAGTTCATCTAGAATTAGAACATTTTCATATGTAAATTGTTTTGTGTATCACTTCATTTTCACCAGCAGATTCAGTTGTACAGTGAAAAAGTACTACAAAAAATTTAGAAGGTTGATTTGATCAACATACAAAGTTAATCTAACTTACAGGGTGTCCCAGAACTCATGAGAATTTTTTGAGGGAGATATAAGGCATGTAGGTGATTTTTCTTCAAATTTGGTACACTTATTAAACACACTTTGGGGAATAACTGACATGAATTTCAGGCACATATCTTTTATATTTCCGAATTTATTGACATTTGAATTCTACATCGCCAAAAACCCTGGAGTAGTCAGAGAAATACAACAATTTACGTCACATTTTGATAATATTTACACAACTTCTCTACTCTAATATCATTGTTTTCATTGAATTATTTCAGCATTTCTGTACTTTACTTGATAGGATCATACACATTCAAGCTACGTAAATCTACAGAGTTATTATAGCATATTATCTGCAGTTGATGTCGTCTTTTCAGCTACTCTTTATACACATTCCCAAATTGTCCAATAGTCATTTCTGTAGGGTCCTCTGAAACAACATGACTCAATTCTTCCTCCGTTTCAGTGACATGGCTCACTAGTCTTTGTTTAAGGTCCCCAAAGAAAGCAAAAGTCTAGTAGAGCAAAATCCGGCAAGTATATGGAGCTATTTTATACTGTGAAGTCTCAATAGAAAATAAATTGGATGCACTACTGACATGCATGTAGTGACTTATTCACTGGTGCATTGTCAATATGCAAGATCATATTGGCTAGCAAATGGGGACATTTCTTCCAGTCCCTCAGGAACATGTCAGTATAATCTTTTAGCAGACCAAATGTACAATCCGTTGATGTATTGGGTCTCTATCAAAGTTTATATATCGTATTATCAAAGTGCATCATCAATATGAAAAAAATGCTGAACTAAGCTTATACAAAAAACATTGGTTTTATAGTTAAGAATTTGTATAAAATTGACAAAATATGACATAAACTTTTGTATTTTCCCGATAACTCCAGGGTTTGTGGCGATGTAGAATTCAAATGTCAATTAATTCGGAAATATAAAAGATATGTGCCTGAAATTCATGTCATTTATTCCCCAAAGTGTGTTTAATAACTGTACCAAATTTGAAGAAAAATCACCCATGCCTTATATCTCCCTCAAAAAATTCTCATGAGTTCTGGGACACCCTGTACAGTGAAAGGGAACTACAAAAAAATGTTGATTTGATCAACATACAAAGTTTAATTTCTTCTCATACTACACATTATATGTTCAGGGAACAACAATTAAACTTACGAGCAAGATCCATCATTGTAGCCATTTTGTGAGAGCAGTACACTGCATTTCCTACTGGACCATATACTAACTCTATTATTGTATAGAATCGCCTAAAACAAATATTGGATATTTTGAAAATGCATTTTATTGTTGTTTTCATGATTTTGTTTTCTCATATGATTAATCAAGATAGAGCCATCTTTAACAACAACTCGTCTTCAGCTCGATAAAGAAGAATTATCAAAGCTCATCAAGAATCGACGATCCTGCACAGGTACTCATACAAGAACCTCTATATCCGATAAAGTTTTAATCAAGACATCTGAAGTGCTGTATTACCTATGTAACAGACAGTGTGCTATAGAATGGTTTATACTGGTACAGTAAAACCTGTGTTAGTGAACACATCCCTTTAGCGAACACCTATCAACAGTGAACATTTTTTTGGCAAAACCTTTTTCTCCCATTGACTCCCATGTTGAAGTACAATCCTATAGTGAACACCTACCTACTGTGAACAGTGAACATTAAATCTTGGCAAATTAAATTGAATTATCCTGTCTCTAGTGAACATTGAATCTGATACATAAGATTTCTCGTGGGTTTTCTGCAACTGCCTTATCAGAGTTAAGCAGCTTATGTTTATATTACCTGTCAAAAATAATTATTAAAAGGTCAGTTTGAGAGAAGAGGAGGGAAAGCCCCAGAGTTTAAAGATGACAGACATAGTTACCTCTCTTGCTTACCACCTTCGTTCGTTCGAATTTTCATCGGCTAGTTATCAAATACTACACTTCGATGGGATGTTTTAATTGATATAGGCATATTCCGTACACCTTTCTTTTTCTTGATGTGAAGTGAGAAGCTATGATATATTGGTAACACGCCAGAAATGAACATAATATTATTTGAAGCGTATTTCGAAAATTTTCAAACCACCATTGATGACGTCATTTGTTTGTCGACTTTTGACCAATCAGCGACGATGTCATCTCAATACAGATTTACATTATATGCGTATGTCATCTTTGAACCCTGGTGTTTCTCCCCCTCTGGTTTGAGAGTGTGATCTCCTCTTATATTGAAACAGGTGTGACTAATTATTATTCTTAATAATCTTTGTTTTTGTAAGGCTGGATATGTGTCTAGCAGTGGCTAGAAGCATTGATTGCTTTAAATGGAGATAATCTGGTTAACTATTATTACCTTTATCTCTATCTGCTAAGTCCCAACTAAATCTTTTTCTCATCCCCATCGATTTAAAAACCAGATTGGGTTAAAATTATAATGATCACTCTTAACTGACTCTATCATGTAGGCTAGTTTATAATTAATTAAGTCAATAAAGTCCTTTAACTGACTCAAATGTGTCAAGAATTCCACTATTTAAAGGATCATCTTGATGGGAATATAAGGAATTATAAAGAGATTAAAATTTGACAATAAAAGGATGAACCATTCAGATGACAGTCAGTCTAAAATAAGTAAGTTTGTATAACACAAGAAAAACAAAAACAAAAACTTGTTGCTAGTGTCATTGGTAATCATAGGTATAAAGTACAAATTATATCAGATATTCCCTCCTCTATTTAGGCTTGTTTAATAACTGGTCTCTTAATTACATGTAATATGGCAAAATGCAACGAAGTCAAATCCTTGCTGTAGTGGACACCTACTACCTACAGTGAACATTTTTCTTTGGCAAAAAATGTTCACTATACACAGGTTTTACTGTACGTGGTAAATAAAGAAACCAATAAATAACACAAGTCAGTATGATCTTCAATAATTGAACATGAATTGAGGTACATTTTATATGTATAATAATGTTTATGATTTCAAAAACTAAACCCCGATGGTGTTAAATTGATGCAGTATGTGGGTATGCGATTTTTTGCAACTGCTTTGATGAGTCGCAGTTTACCAAATTGAATGTTATTATTTACCCAATGTACATTGTGTACCAGTGTAACACGGATTGATCAATGCATTAGGCACGTGTCATAAAATGGAATTACATTACCATTACCCTTTGAAAGTTATATTCCCTCAAAGTGAGAATTGGGAATATTAATTTGAACTTCCAAGTTCCGTCTGTATCGTGTTCATGTTTATTCAGTGGATTTTGTATAACCGGGAAACTATTTAGTTTTTTTATGGCATCACTAAATAGTGGTGACATATTGTTATGGTCTCCATTTTTTGTGACGGCGATCGGCGGATGGCGGTTGGCGATCGGCATCTGTAACAAATTCTTACAACTTCCAATAACTTAACAAATACTGTTTAGACCGACTTCAATTTCTGTCAAAATCATCTACCGTGTACAAGTTTTCTGAAGTTCAAATCTAACTTAAGATTTAAAATTTGACCTTCAATGACCTTCTCAAGGTCAAAAATAGGTTAAAAAAGATCAAAAAGCTTCAAATTGACCTTTTTTTTTTCAAAATCGTCTTCAAGTTTCTCAGAAATTCAAATATGACTAGATTTGTGATTTCACCTTCAATGACCTTCTTAAGGTCAACAAAGGTTAACAAGTTCTTTTTTCAACTTGCTTCAAATTGACCAAATATTAGATGATCTTTTGAAAAATCATCTACAAGTTCTAAAAGTGAGAGTAACTAGGTGGTGACATTTTGTCATGTTAATGCCTTGTTATATTGATAAAGTAGCTGATTATTTTAAAAAGTATACTGAAAAAGCATGAGTAAGATATAAATTATACTACCATTCTGAGCTATAATGATCCCTTTTCCATTGATTGTCAGCATGTTTAAATTAATTGGCAAATATTATGATTAATACGAATGCAAAATGGGGGTTCCCCTGATTGTTAATTTTATTAGTCATATTGTTTATTTTCATTCATATTCGTTGTTCTTGATAGGCAGTTATATATGATAAAGTGTATTTGATAACCTCATAATATAATATATAATATACATACTTTGCATTGCGAAGCTGTAAACCCTCTTCCAAGAATTACATAGAAAGAAAGTTTTACCCACAATACCTGTACTGTAACTTCCTGTCACATGACCCAATGTTAAGTCAAAGGCTAGAGAAAATGATTTGCGGAGTGTGTACTTGTAGTTTTAGACTTATTAAAATATGCCATATCAAATACTAAGTACATTTTTTAAGTGGATACATGGATACATAATTTGGATGGTACTATATTAACTAAGAGTAGAGGTTCAAGTCTAAGGTCTGATAAGTACTACATGTACTGTACGTTGCATGTATAGTACTATAAATCATGGGCTTTCAAGAGTCTGTTGAAACACAAGAATAAGCTACAAAAGGCTAATTGCAGGTACAGTAGCTGTAATTATACAGCTTGTCAAAAAGGTTCCCTCCCCCTATGCAGCCAAAACCAAGCTATATGGTACCAAGTATGATATATTATTGGAGAGAAAGTTATGTTGATTTGCATATCTCTGATACCTGTCAAATTGCAACATTGTATCAATTGAGGTGACCATAGACCTAGAAATATGGCAATATGCATATTTGGCAAGATTTGAAGAATCAGGCATCAGAAAAGTAATAGGAGCTAAAGATGACAACTCCCTGTATATAACAGTGAATTTACTGTACTTAATTTGGTGCAATTTATTTTGCTGGATTTGCTGTTTTGAACATTTGGCGGCTACTTAATTTCTGCGGACTCGCAATATTACAATGCACTAATTTGCATGGTACTAAAATTACATATGTATACCAGAGAATTCGGCTGCTACTAAAGTTGGCGGACTTAAACAATTGGTGGATCTGCCAAATTAAAACAGCTACCAAATTAAATAAAAGTATAATAACCAGTTTGTAGATAGGGTTAGATAGAAAATAGCATTGTTTGAAGTCAGAACTGTCAATTTATATATTTTGAAGAACTCAATGGGTTAATTGATTGGTGATTTCTTATTTTAAGGTGATATTAATTTGATTCAAACAGTGTATTTGATGTTTGAATAAAGCAATATTACACATTAAAGGCCTAATATGCATATTTTCAACATTCTTTGGCAAAATAAAGATTTACTTTTTGACTACATAGTATTTCCAATGTATTGATAAGTACTTTATTTTTTATTGGACACCAAAAACAGCTTAAACAAAGCTTACAATGAATTATCAAAAAATATTTTTGATCTGTCAATATTTATATACATGTATCAAGTTTTTGCCAATACATTGTATCTATGAAAGATGACAAATTTGTATCACAGCATCCATTAATTTCTATAGAAGTGTCGCCATCTTTTAAATCAAGAGTTATTTAAAACTTCTACTTTGTTTTTTTCTAGGTGCCATATTAATGCAAATCAATCTTTGTATCATGTTTGACTGAGTGTGTGAGTAACATGTTTCAATGATTTGTTATCCTTTTTTCTTCTGAAGTAAATACATTAAATGGGACAGGTGGGAAGGACAATCCACGAGAGAAAATTAGTGTGAATCTGTATGCATCCTGGCATTTTTCAACATCTCAATGTGGAGTCATCTGTTGATGTGGGGCAGGTGATTCTAGATATTTTAGATATTCCTCAATCATGATACAGGATATGGATTGTTAATGTAATATTCTTGCTATATTATATCAAATGTCTTTATATCTTTCTGTATTTCAGGTGTGACAGATACCTTGTTACAGTCTCTTCTAGCGAGAGGATGTCAGAATTGTAAAGTGCTACGACTTGGTAACAGGTCTATGTGTCTTACAGACTGGGCTGTAGATATAATAGGTATGTATAGCTTACTTAAAATACAATGTGCATCAAGGCACAGTAGTACTCTTATTTGGGCACACCCAGTCTTTAGTAACTTGTAACTATCACTCTTTTGTTGTCAAGTGAAAGCTTTGGCAATGAGCATGATCAAACAAAATAAAATATTTTACCTATAATATCATACAAAAAGGTTTGTCAAGTGACCCATCAATAGTAGGGTTCTATAACAAAATTTACTCCTGACAGTGTGGTGTTCATTCATTTATGCTGATTTAGAAAATAAACTGAACAGTGCATGGTTTTCTCCCAGCATTCATATGCAAATGTAACTTTGATCCAAAAATTGGCCAAAAATGATTCACATGATATGTTTAAGTTATCTTCTTTCAGATTTTTGTAGAAATTCTAGTGCTTAGGTTCATTGGCTGAACTAACAATAAATTAAATATAGTTATTCTGTCCTTTCAGAATGGACAAGTCTCAGTTTGGAGAACAGTCTCCTGGGCTAATAATTTATTTCATGAAAAATATAGAAATAACACTCAAATTAAATCTTGAATATTCAAAAGAGGACATTTAATCTAAATATGTAAAAATATCAAAATTGTCCAAACCAGGCGTGATGTGCAGTAGATTGATGAACTTCGTTCTCCGAACCGAGACTAGTCTTTTACATTTCTTTCAGAATTTTGCAACTAAGATTGTGGATTTTGCAATTTAAAAACTAAGGATTTTGTAAGGATTTGCATTAAAATTTTAGATTAAGTGATTTAGAAACAATGGATTTTGCATCAAAAATTTGAAATTTGTGGAAAAGAACAACAGAAAATCTGTAGGAACAGGTTATTGAATAATACGTTTATATCCTTATTAGGTGAAAGCTGTCCAAAACTGGAAGAGGTGGACTTGTCTGGTGTGGAAGTCACAAACATCTCTCTGAAAACCCTTGGAAGGAATTGCCCAAAATTGAAGGTTAGAATATTTCCAGCATTTGTTAATCACCTTGGGTTTGTGTTCTGGCTATAATATATATATGGGATAAGTCTTAAGCTCATGTCTGTGTACTATCAAAATATGTGTATGAAAATAAAAGAAAAGTTGATATTGTAGTAGTAGTTGTGATGGGTTAGATTATCTGTCACTTATTTTGGTCTAAAAATGTCAATTTTATCCTTATACTCGTACTCTTCAAATTATTAGAAATCACATTTTTTTAAGATTAGTATAATATTTCTATATTATAACAGGTCATAAAGCTACAGCGCTGTCATGAAGTTGGTGAGAAAGGCCTATGGTGGCTGTTGAAACAGTGTCAGTATCTACACACATTAGACCTAGAGGGCAACAAACGTCTTACAGGACAATGTTTTCATATGGCTGGTCCATATCTTCACATACTCAATCTATCTGGCTGCTCTGGGGTAAGATTGCAAGTTTATATAATAGCATTTCCACCCTGACCTAAAATATGGCACTTCACATCCAGATTATAATAGGATAGAACATAATTAAGATTTGAATGTATCATCTTTGATCAAGATTCTCATCATTGTCGTAAAAAGACATTAATGCCTCAGTCACATTTGATCTACGACAACAGTACATTGGTTGTAGATTGAGCTTCCCAAAATCGAGAGGCAGCATAAAATATAGGATGAGTAGTATGATGGGTTCTTTAAACAAAAAATGCCAAATAACCCTGCTAATGTTTTAGAATACAATGTAATCAACAATGCAATGATTAATAAGAAAATATGTTTGAATAAATCTGAAAGTACAATAATCTCAAAATAAAAAATCTTGAGAAAGAGATATCAAAGAGATATGGAAAATGATTTTAAAAACAGACAATGTTGTACCTATTTGCATATAATAGATAAGTGGAAAAATACTTATCCTGATTTAATTAATTCAAATAATCAAAGAGCCATGACTTAAAAGTATTCATTTTAAAAATTTTAATAGAATTTATCCAACTAATACCCATCTTTTCAAATGTAAAATAGAGGGTGTTAAATCCAATGTGACTGAGGCTTACCATACGTATTTACATGTTCTTCAGTTGTCTGAGTCAGGAATACTAAAAATCTGTGAGAAATGTAAGAACCTAGAAGATCTCAAACTGAATGCTTGCTGTGGCTTAAAGGATGAAAGTCTCAGGGCTCTATGTATAGGACTGGTACATTTACGTAGATTAGGCTTGAGTGGGGATTATGTTGAACTGACGGGACAAGGCCTGTATGAGATTGGAGGTAAGACTTGAGGGGGGGGGGGTCATATATTCATTTCTACAATTTAATGTTTCCTTTAAGTTTGAAGTGAGACAGCAAGGGGACTTCACAATGTATTTATTCAAGTGTGTTTCACTTTGATGTGACTATGTACATTGAAGATGTATGCAATAAACTTGATTAATGTTTTATGTCATGGCCAGAAGTTGTGGATGGTGTTTGGCAGATAATGTTCGATGTCTGGCTCTGTAACAGCATTCGGCATCTGTAGCAAATGGCAGGTGGTGACATTTTTCATGTTAATGCCTTGTATATCTGATATAATCATGTCATCACAAAAAGTGGCGACATATTGTTATAGTCTCCAAACTTAATTGGGGATGGTGTTCAATGGTCAGTGTCTGTAGCAAATGGCAGGTGGTGACATTTTACATGTTAATACCTTGTATATCTGATATAATTTTGTTATCACAAAAACAAAAAGTGGTGACATATTGACATATAGTCTCCAAACATTATTGTGGATGGTGTTCAATGGTCAATGTCTGTAACAAATGGCAGGTAGTGACATTTTGCATGTTAATGCCTTGTTTGTATATTACTAAGATGTGTATGTGTGTATGATGGGTGCACTGATCTTGTCTGTGTCTCTGTGCAGCATTCATTAAAAACTATTCAGTTTGGGGTTGATCTTTAACCCTTTGTGAAATTGATTTCATGCATTTTGGGATGAATTATCTTGTTGTAGTATCAGTATTTGAATAATAAGGATATGTTTATGAAATGACCAGGATTTTAGTATTCTGAGTAGAGATTGCAAAAATCATAATTTTTGTTCATTTGTTACATATCTATGAGATACGATTTTTTTACCATGGAGCTTTTTGGTTAGTAACTATAACACCACCAGATGTGGTGACATTTTGTTGAGTCTCCAACTTCTTTGTGGACGGCAGTCGGGGTTTGGTGTCTTCAACAAATTCTTACAACTTCCAATAACTGATGGTGACATTTTGACATGTCAATGCCTCGTTACCATTTGCATTAAAACTATTTCAGAACATTTAGTGAAGCTGGAAGCTCTGAATTTATCTGGGAATAAAGCAATAGATGATAGGTCTCTACTCAACATCTGCAATGGCTGCATGAATCTAAAGTAAGTAAATGACTTTCTAGGTAGAAAGCCCATGGAGGAGGATACCATCATTACTGCATTATACTCACCTCAGTTGGTTACATAGGGTGGACCAAAATGTTATCTTTATTATAGAAGTGTACATTCAGAATGGGTGCCATGTTTTGACCCACTCTGTATTTCTATGTTATAACAGAAAATATATTTAACTTTTCACTTAATTTCTGGAGCATTTTGTGTATGTAGGTGCATCTAAAATGCATTTTGAATGATTATAATTACCCATATGATGAATTTATATTTTACTTTCAGAGAGCTTGACTTGAGTTGCTGCCATAGTAAACTGAGAGATCTGAATTGTCTGGGTCTGCTGTATAAGTTAGAGTTGGTCAACTTGAGTTACATGCCTTGTGTAACTGATGACTGCATGAGAAATATTTCACAAAATGGCCGTCTAAAAAGGATAAGATTAAGGGCATGCTCTGGCATTACAAATCAAGGTATAGTGTGCGCCAAAACTCCAGAAAATCCCATTAACTGATGTTGAGGTAGGTTACTATGATTTGACCCATAGTCATTATAGATTGGTTCATTGACTATTCATTTTTACTTGTCTGCACTCAAAAAAGTGACACGAAAGGGCTAAACGGCTTGCCCCAAGGTGCAACCGTCAAAAAGATGAGTTTGACAAAAATCTTTTTTTTCAAATAATAGCAACGAGTATAAGAAATAGGAGGCAAATTTGATATTGATATGTATGATAGTCCATTCGGGTGTGGTCATTTTTATTAAAAACAATAATATTGAAGAATTATACATTTCTGACCTTAAAATGCCATTTTAATGCAAAAGTCACGGTTGCTATTAATTATATTCCTATTTTACCTATTCAATGTTTTCTATATATTACACTTACCATTATATTCATTTTTGGCAAAGTAAATAATAATGGGGCTCACACAAGGATCCACTTTATTTACAACTTTTTCATATTTAGTGATGTTTTGAAAAATTACTACGTTTAACAGAAAATTATTTGTTAAATGTTAAACAAAATAATGATTATGTGTTTGTTTCGTTGTTTCAACTGAAAAATCACAATTCATTGCTCTTGATCTTAGAGCGGCAGGGCATATACCAGTATGACCAATCTTCAATACAGTTGATCCTTGTGTGATCCCTACTATTATTTACTTTGCCAAAAACTAATATAATGGTTATTCAGATATATGAAAATCATTTGATAGTCAAAATAAGAATAATATAATTGACTTTTGAATAAAAAAGCATTATATATTCAGAAGTACCAAATTTGTACCATAATTGTTTTTAAGAGAATAACTATACCCTAATGGACTAAATTTTGCGAAATTTGCTTTAAATTTGCATTTTTGAAAACGCACCTGCTTATACTTATTCAATTTAGAACCACAACAGAAAGTAACTCTTTCATGAAAAACTTCGTCAGCTTGACTGAACATTACTGAGTACAGTCATTAATATGACCTCATATTTGGATAACCTCTCTTCTGTCATAATTTTACTTCAAATTGGCAAATTTTATTAAAATTGACATGATAAAACAGAAATGATCGACTATTACTTCTGAAATGTCAATTGAAAAAATATATTGCTCTAACCGAATTGTAGTAGAAAATTGATTTGACATATTTATCTAAACAAAACAATATCGGTCCATGTCTTCTTTTTAATGGAATTGTGGCGTGGCTGCTAGTTCAGGCAGTAGAGCATCAGAGTCTAGACTAGAAGGTACTAGGTTTGGTTCCCACACCAGAGCATTAACACGCAATTCCCCTAAGGAACCCTCAGGTCCTTACAGAGTGCCATATTTGAATATTAAAGTAAATGGACGATTTTGCCACCCTCCCGCCATATTCTTGTGTATCTTTAATAATACTAGCAATCTACTGTTCGAGTCGGTCACAGCAGCCCCACATGGCCTTAAAAATAATTGCAAATACCTGGCTATTGACTTTTGACCTTTTCTGATGCATGAGATGAACTGGCCCAAAGGCCTTAATACCTAGATATTGACTTTTGACCTTGAATTGACACAACCCATCAGTAATGACTTTGACCCCAAGTCGCCTAGTAATGACTCACCAAACGTCACAGCATCCCCCGAGTGCCTTGAAACACCAAAACCTAGATATCGACCTTGACCTTGAGATGATCTTGAATTGAACCATTAAATGATGACTGACCTCATGTCACCTTATCATGAGTCGCCAAGGGCCACGTCACGCCAGCAGCCCCCGTGGTCTTAAAACGCCAAACACTAAGATTTTGATATTTTCTGAAATTTGACCTTAGATTGACCTTGACCTCAGGTCACGTTTCAATGGAGTCAAGTGCAGCAGCCGCCCCAAAACGCCAAATATTTAGATATTGATCTCTGACCTTGACCTATAACAATGACACTGATCTCAGGTCACTTTATCATTGGTGATCAAATGTCAGTGTAGCCTCAAACGAGCCAACTACCAAGATATTGACCTTTGACCTTACTATAATTTTGAACGCTAGATATTGACTTTGACCTCATGTCATCTTAGCATGAGTTGCCAAGGGTTATAGCAGCCCCCAGGGCCTCAAAATGCCAAATACAGATTTTGACCTTGTAGGAATGACCTTGACCTCGGAACACATATCAATGGGTCCTCACATGAAGCAGCATCCCCAAAATGCCAAATATTCAGATATTGACCTCTGACCCTGAGATGACCTTGACCCATAAACAGTGACATTGACCGTATGTCACTTTATCTTTGGTGATCAAATGTTACTGAAGACCCACAGTAGCCAACTACCTATGACCTAGATATTGACCTTTGACCTTGAAATCACCTTATCTTTGGTCGCCACAGGTCACAATTGTTCTCACATCAACTTGCTAGATATTGACCTTTGACCTTGAAATTTCCTTGATCCATTCAAACCTTGACTTCAGGTCACCTAATCATTGGTTGTGGAGGGTCAAATCAACGACCAGGTGTCTTAAAAAGCCAACTACCTAAATAATGACATTTACCTTGAAATGACCTTGACTTTTGTAGAATACACTTTTTATGAACAAAATGAAACATTCAAAGTTGAAAACTGACCGTTTGAAAATAAAATTGCTGCTAATGTTTCAAAACGAAGGTATCTGTATTGTAAAAATAATGTTCAAATTGAATAAACTCGAAGAAATATACTTCAATTATTTAATTCTCTATCAGACTAAGTATAATTGAAACTGTTCTAAATGTAAATGTTGCAATGAATTCGAAAGCTCACATATATCTTGTTGCATATCAGTCTAGTGCAGCTGCTACAGGTATCACTCTGACAAACATCGGTGAACAAATCAAACTTGATGTGAGCAGACTTTTGGACAAATAATAATGGAATTGTCAAAACGGTTGCATTTATAAAATCAATTCCTGCCTCATCACTGTTACACCCATTACTACAAGATGTTGTCTCGACTAGATCACTGTCTGCAAGCTAAAAAAGTATCAAAATCACTGCCTGCTTTATCACAATAAACTTTTGTTACAAATAATTTTAGTAAAATGCAAATAGAAGGCCCATTTGATATTAATATGGAAAGATAGTCCACTTTGGTGTGGTAATTTTACTGCAACAACTACATATATATGTACATGTATAATGCCTTTTTATTCAAAAGTCAATCATTGTATTCCTATTTAACCTATTAAAGGATTTTCATATATCTGAATAATCGTTATATTAATTTTTGGCAAACTAAATAATCGTAGGGCTCACACAAGGATCAACTTTATTGAAGACTTTTTGTACTGGTATATGCCCTGCAGCTCTAAGAGCAAGAGCAATGAATTGCGATTTTTAGTTGAAACAATGAAACAAACACAATACAACAGGTTCCAGTGTAGTTTGGCAATTCCATAGGTGACAAAAGTTTGAATTATTAATATAAATTAAGAAATATATTTGACAATTAATGTATTCTTTAGGTGTTGGAGAAGTTTTTTGTATGAGAAAAGATTATAAACAACCAGCAAAGTATAAAAATAAAGATATATATTTCTAGGTACTGTATATCTATGTTATGTACAGACATCAGCAACATATTTACAAGCTTTTTGTGTAGATATATGAAGTGTCTGAATTCAGGCAGATGTTTTACTCTATGCAACTCTTAGTATGGGAAAATATGTGTCTGAATTCAGACATGCCCACACATTTTTAATTTAAAAAGACAAGATTCTCTTAAACTAAAATAAGGTGTCTGAATTCAGACACTTTGCTAAGCTTGGATGAGGTGCCTGAATTCAGACAACATTCCATAAAACTGAAATATGGTGTCTAAATTCAGACAACTCGCTAAGCTTGGATGAGGTGCCTGAATTCAGACAACATTCCATAAAACTGAAATATGGTGTCTGAATTCAGACACTTTGCTAAGCTTGGATGAGGTGCCTGAATTCAGACAACAATCTATAAAACTGAAATATAGTGTCTGAATTCAGACAACTTGCTAAGCTTGGATGAGGTGCCTGAATTCAGACAGCAATCTATAAAACTGAAATATGGTGTCTGAATTCAGACAACTTGCTAAGCTTGGATGAGGTGCCTGAATTCAGACAAGAATCTATAAAACTGAAATATGGTGTCTGAATTCAGACAACTTGCTAAGCTTGGATGAGGTGCCTGAATTCAGACAACAATCTATAAAACTGAAATAAGGTATCTGAATTCAGACATTCTAGTAAACTGACATTACAGGTAAGGATTCAGAAATTATAGTTTTCACTTCTGTTTTTTAATCGAAATTGATGTTTGAATTCAAATTCATTAAGTCAACATTTGTGTGTTAAAAGCAATTTCGCTTCCATTCATAAGTTTGGCAACAGAAATTTTCATCGGATTGCAATTAACATGTCTTATATAATGTTTTAATTGCAATTCTATATAGGTACAATTTCAAATTTTATGACAAGATATTTTTAAAAAGTAGTTCATCAGGTACAGATCAAGTAATCTTTAGCATTACAGAAAATACTTCATTAGAAGATACTGTAACTGATGGTACAACAGGCAGAAGATTGATCATTTGAACTTTTTTATTTTAAATCACACCTGATCATCGACAAAGTACAGTGACAAAATATACCCCCGTAGACTTTTGATGTACAGTGTCACTATTCTAACTGATATGAAGCAAGAGATATGATGTAGGTGTGATGTAGGTTTTAAAAATTAATCTGAGGAATGCATAAAGAATTTCATGTTTAATTTTGTGTGTATTCGATTAGGAAAACCATTAGCTTTCTGATTACGTTAAAAGATTTTCGAGCAGTGCTCGATTTTTTTCATAGTAAATCAAACCAAAAACAATGATCGGTTGGAAAATGTTGTGTTTTTCACATTTTTCCCCCTGTCGCCTAAGAGTGTAAATTATTTTTATGAGAATATGTTTCCTTAAGTTACACAACAATTAAGGTCGGTTGAA